AAATGGCAACTCACAGAGATGTACGTCGTCTCACGACCGATACATTCAATCATGTTGCAATGGATAACATCTTTCCTAGGAATCGGCGTCTGTACCGAAATAGTAGCGGCATTGATCTTATTGTAAGCGCGAACGATACGCCACTTGCCGATCGGCTTCCGGACACAAAACGTGGTGTCGAATAGGGAGACTTGCTCTCACGCACCATTCCTGCGTTGTGCTTCGCACGGAAAAAGGCGTCAGTGACGTCACACTACTCTTTGGACAGAAGCCATCGGCGTGACGCAGCATTTGGTTCCCGGAACCCGGTTGATCTCATGACGCACACCTGGGTCTGGAGGTCGGACCGACGGCGGGTCTTTAGAGACGACGTCTTGAAATTTCTTTACAAAGGGATATTACGGATGCAAGGGATTCTTTAAGATCGAAGATTCACTTCGTGCTTTCAGCAGCCTCTTGGTGTCCTCCAGGACAGCTTCATCCAAAAGCGACGACGAGTTAATCTCTTCTCTCGGTCGTATAATGATTACATCGGCTAAGTCGCCTGCCTTCAAGGCACCGCCGAACTCTTCGAACGACATCCCGTCCAGCTTAAGAAAAGCACCCACCGCGAGAATAGCCGCAAAGGCGACGTCGTCGTCTTCCTCCTCGTCATACCGTTGACGAAGGCGTATGGTTGTGCACTATCGTCTACAGTAGACACATCCTGGGTCAGGGTTGACGCCCGGCGTCTTGCAGATATCATTCGGCGTCGACGTTGCCTCTCCACAGAGGTTTTACATCTCGACGAGACCAATGGGAACACGCACTCAGCGCCGCACAGTGTCCCCACTCCCTGCTCCACCGAAGCCTTAATACTATTAACAACATCCAACGAAGAGCTGCTAGTTCCGCAGTCTTCATCCAGTGGATAACGTGCCACTGCAGGCGCATCTGAAGGCCTTTGCGAAAGATGTCTAGGACCTCGTCCGACCACGCCACTCTTGGCATGCAGCAACTGCTTTAAAACGTGAGCAGTGCTCAGTGGATTACGTGTCACTCCACGCGCATCACAACGGCCTCGCCCTTGATGCCTCGGACCTCGTCCGATCATACCATCCTTGACACGCAGCAATTGCTTCAAAACTAGAGCAGTGCTCAGTGGGTTACGTGCCACTCCACGTGCATCACAAAAATCTTTTCCTTGATGCCTCAGCCCTTGGTCAACCATGCCAATCCACGTTCAGCCCGCGAGCCACGCTCGGGACTCTAGTCCAGGAAACCTTTGATGTTTGGTGTTCGACAACTCGAATACTCCAGATTCCAGCACATTGACCGTCCC